TCTGCTCAGTTTCGTATAAGAAACGTAAACAAAGCAATTTCGAAATAATTGATGGATTTACTTTAACCAGACATTTTTATAATTCTGCTCTAATGAATTCTATGAACAAAGGATAAAACATGAAGGATCAACCGGTAGTTTCTCCTACAAAGGTGAACGCAGGTTCGAATCGAGTCAAAGAGTACATTTTCATTATTTTTCTTAAGTATCGAGTCCGGTAAAACTAATACAAACTGTTTAAAATAAAATGGTGTCTATTTGAAAAACGTGTATCCACAAAATATAATGTTTGAATATATATATATATATATATATATATATATATATATATATATATATGAAGAAATATAGTCTTAAGGTGTGCTATATTTATGGGATAAAGTGCTCAGTATCAGAGATAGAGCGTGTGTAAATATAAAAGTGAACATAGAAGCCAACACTTAGAGGCGACAGTCTGTTTCATGCTAGATGCAATCGTTAGGCCATATATATATTAAAGAGAAAAGAGAAGACTCAAACGTTTTAGTTACAATGTGGACTTTTTATGTATTATATTTATTTTACATATTTTTGCTCCCTACGTTTCAGGTCTTGGGAACTTCATCTGGCGAAGAATAATTATTTCCGCGTATTATTTAAAGGAATTAACATTTTTCTTACGCTTAACCATTTTCTTTAGTGCGTGGTAGTAATCCAAATTATTTTGTACTGGCGTAAAATATTCCTTTGCTTAAGTATTAATAAAACAATCAGGATTTGTCAGAGAAAGTGGAAGGAATAATGTTTTTGTTCCTAGCTTTTTATGTCCTCAGTTTCACGAGACGAGACTCTGGCTTTCGGCAGAGCCTCATCTAGGGGATACCCTCTGACATAAGCCAGGTAAGTGTATATATATATATATATATATATATATATATATATGGAGAGAGAGATTCAAAACTATTAGAAATCTCGCTAAGAGAAAACAACGAAACGATAATGCCGGGGTGCATCATATTATCCCCTGCAAAGCCATGAGAGATATAGAGGCAACATTTCTAGAACAGCTAAAACTTGCATCTTAGAACACAAGAGAGACCCCTGTTGGAACATGCAAAGCACAAAAATAATATAAGTTATAATTCTGATTAATAAATACCTCCCTAATAAATAAATATCTTCATTACGAAGAAACTATTTAAAGGGAATATTAATTAATATTTCTTCCTTCTATAAACACATGCTAAAGACACATTTCATATCACAGCTTTCATAAAACTAAAGAATGTCAGTTACAGATACCCGCGCATGACGTAAAATAAGATTTTAAATTGCAACATACTAAATATCCCGCGTATACTCAAACGCCATATATGATAAGAAGTAATCTATAATATATGTAATAGAATTAAATATTCACACGCCCACATATCAGACACACATCTGCGAATCTCTCGTAACACTCATTTTTTCCCTCAATATTGCATTTACCCGAACATTTATAAAGGCTGACGAAGAAGACGCTGGAGCGACTCTGTGGCGGACACACTCAGAGGCCATGAAATATCTCTTCTCCAGGCCACTTGCATTGACGCTGACAGAGGACTGCGTCGCCCCGCAACACCAAAAACCCTTAACAGAAGGAAAAACTAAACTATTTATAACGTACAACTAATCAACAAGTAACACACTTATCGACACTAGCAATTCACATAAGAGCAACTAGATATTCGATACACACGCATATATGCACACACTTCCTATTTTCACGTCATCATCCCACTAACTTCAGGAATTAAATACAGGGTCACTACCATACAGAGACAACAATCCCCATTAGAATCAAAATGCGCGCATACGGACCCCACACAAGTGAAACATGTTAAAAATATAAATGTTTCTTATTTATTCTTTATTCTGTCATATATAAATGTATTTAGTAACGAATAAAGGGGGAGTAATGGATAGCTTGGATTGAGGAATCGGAGAGCCGAGTTCGAATTCCAGTTTAATCCATTACATTCACTTACGTGCTAATAACCTTGGCAAAGGTATGACTCCTCTTCTTTTATTCCCAGCTATGGGTAAATAGCAGGAAAGACCGGGTTCTATAGCCTTGGTTGGCAACTGGTCTATCGCATAAAGTAATAGCAACCTACTGCGTGAAATAATCTGCCTTGTCAGACATGTATCGAAAGATACATGATCGCCTAATCGTGTATAACGCATGGCACATGAAAAATGAATAAAGCGATATACCTTCATAAGAATGGGAAAGCAAAAGACAAAAATGGAAGATATTCGATATATTTTTTTTCATTCTGAGTAGTCTTCCTTAATCTGAAAATATCTTAGAACTTAGGAAATATTTTGTACGGTCACGCCTACAGTTCAAATATATATTAGAATTTTGATGAAAACTTATAATTTGAAACTACAGCATTCAAACGACTGAAGGAATTATTTTTTTACATGCAAAAACTGAATGCCACTTGCTCCCCAACAATGGGTACCAGCAAACAATAAGTGCGAAATAAAAAGTGAGTCAGAGAATTTAAACTATTTTTAGCAAATTAGCATAATAGCTGGGAAGATTTGCTAAAATGTGATTTCCATAGACTCTCGCCAAATACTTCTAGACAAAAGACATATTTTAAAGACATCAATCTTTATAAAAATAATAAAATTAATCAATTACTTGATCTCCTGCCTAGAAGGTTGATACACTGCATTCTGCTAGAAAAGTTTTCTCTCCATAATTTACCTTAGATATTTATAAGTATACCATTTGACATGCTTGGAATATAGCTACGATATCAAACTTCACATTTCCGAAGAGTTGAGTTTACAAATTTATTAATGTTACAAATGTTTGAGAATCGAGAACATTAGATTAGAAAAATGACCAAATAAAACATGTCATTTTAGGTGGGTCCATGAATTAGCTTTCAAAAAAATATGTATATTAAGAAGATATGTTCGAATTCTATTAATCTGTGAAGAATGTGCCAATATAACACCTAGACAATTAGATATCTAACAATATATTTCAAATGCTATGACTGCTTCTAAGAAAGTTGGTTCAATGTGTCGTGCTAAATTTATCTAAACAGAATCTATCTTATATTTTTATAAATCTACCATTCGTCCATAACTTAAAAATTGCGGACATATCTGATTCTGCTCTGTATTTAGAGATTCTTCATAAAATACAAAGACGTATCTGCAATGTCATTGGACCAATTCAGCTTAAGTCATTTTTTCACGCCGTAAAGCAGCTTCCAAGTAACTTTTCTATAAATACTTTAATGATAATTGTTCTGAAGAAATTTCCTATGTCACTTAGACTCTATAAAATTAAAAGGGAGTATTAGATTAGCGACAAGGTTTCATTATTTCATAGTTGAAACGGATAGTTGTAACCGAAAGTTCTATGCTAGCAGTTACTTCTATCTCGATTCTCGCTTGTGGAATTCTTTTCCAGCTGTCTGATTCACATTCAACATGCAAATGCAATGTAATTTCAATATCCTCTCTCTTTAATAGTTTGCTTTTCATAATTTCTAACTCTCAGGAACATCTTATGTCTTAGTGGCTTTATTGCCTTGCCCGTGGTGAAATGGTTAAAATCGAGGGGAAATAAATTTCTGAAAAATTTAGTTTGAGCTGAATAGTATATATGAGATGATAAACGCAGAAAGAAAACTATAGAAATTCAGAGATAAAGCAGTGAAGGAAAGCAGGAAGAAAAGACTAAATATTAATTGCAAGAAGAGAGAATATGTCAAGCGAAAGAGCCCAAAATACGAGATATGAAATGAATATGTCAAAATCTAACAAGTACAAAAATTGAAATCTCTGGAAAGTATTAAGAAGCTGGGAAATATGTTTAGTTCCAAAGAAAAGAGAACTCTGCAGCAGAAAATAAGTGTTAAAGTGAAGAGATTACATGACGTGAGTTTTGGAAGTTCCACAGTGTTTGTGGTTTAAACAATTCAGCTCAACTGAAATTCCACGGATTTGGAATTTCAGTTCAAGTTGGAGTTTCGGCCCAAATCAATTTTTTAACCGGGATTGGACTTATAGACCGAATCAGTGTTAAAGTGAATTTTTGAAATTCCATAGATTGAAATGAAGAATTCCAAGCAATATCTTCAAAATTATCATTGTTATATTCTACGTTGACGGAGAGGTCCCGTTCGTTCTGGACAAGAGGTCCAATTAACACTCAGGTGGAGTTCCCTTAAAACTAGCAGGTGCTTAAAGTACGACTTTTAAGCAATATATATATATATATATATATATATATATATATATATATATATATGTGTGTGTGTGTGTGTGAGAGAGAGAGAGAGAGAGAGAGAGAGAGAAACAGAGATACAAAGTCTGACAGACAATAAATTAGAGAGAAACATCTAGTATGCATATGTGCGTTTATACATACACACATTATATATATATATATATAGATAGAGACAGACAGACAGACAGACAAATAGACAGACTGACAGAATAAAGGAGAGAGATATCTGGTAAACTTACGGGCGTGTATATATATATATATATATATATATATATATATATATATATATATATGTATGTATGTCTATTCGTATGCGTGTATTCTGACTGTATTCTTTAATTTGTCATTTGCGTATTCATCCTCCTTCGTGTACTTTTTCCATTCAATCAAATTGCACATTTATTTTGAGACTAGAAATCTACCTTTATATGAATCTGCCTGATGTCAGCTTCCAATTTCTTTGATTAACGCCACAAAAGCGCGCCGGTATTTTTGTCTTCCTTGAATATTAACCATAGGGCGGCGATGAGATTCCTTTTGCTGTCTTTTATTATTAAGAAGATTTTGCGAAAAGTTCACGTTTGAAGCATTTGTGCTCCTCACATTTTCTCGTCTCAAGTTTCTGGAGAAAAGAAAAGGAATATCTTGCGAACGTAATCCCGCTGATGTCACCCCCATATATCATATGACATATTTATGCGATTGTTTGGCTTTTTCAATTTATTTGCTTCACGTGAGAAAAAAAAAAAAAAAAAAAAACTAGAGGCCGTAAGAGATTGTGCATTTCGAGAAATTTGGGAAAGATTTTCCTCTCGACATTCGAATAACAAATAAAAAAAGAAGGAAGGAAAAAAGTGTGGAAGGAAATAGCGGGAAGAAGAAAGTACAAAAGTAAAGCAGGAAGGAAGGAAGCAAAGAAAAATGGAAGGAGGAAGGAAGGGTAAAAGGAAAGGGGGAAGGAAAGGTAAAAAGGAAAGGGGGAAGGAAAGGTAAAAAGAAAAGGGAGAGGAAATGTAAAAAGAAAAAGGGGAGGAAATGTAAAGGGAAGGGGGAAGGAAAGGTAACAGGAAGGGGGGAGGAAAGGTAAAAGGAAAGGGGGAAGGAAAGATAAAAGGAAAGGGGGAAGAAAGGTAAAAAAGGGGCAGGGAAGGTAAAAACAGGGGGAAGGAAGGTAAAAGGAAAGGTAAAAGAAAAGGAGGAAGGACGGGTAAAAGGAAAGGAGGAAGGAAGCGTGAAAGAAACTAAGGCTGGAAGGAGGGGTGAAAGAAACGACGAAAGGGAGGAAGAAAGTGTGGAAAAACAAAGGGTGGCTGAAACGATGGAAGGAAGGAAGGTTGGAACGAACGAACGAAAAAAGTAAAAGGGAATAATGATTGGAAGAATGGAAGACAAGAAAGAAAGGCAGAGGAAGGAAGATATGATGAGTAGAAGAGAAAAGGAAAGAAGGAAGGAAATAGAAGAAAATACAGATTAAAAAGATAAAAGCAATAAATGTTGAAACAGAATTACAAAAAAAGAAAAGCATGAATTTTAAAAGGAGGATTGAAATCAAAAAGATAAAAAGTATGTGGGTCGATAATGGATAAAATGGTATGAGAGAGGAAAGACAACAGAATTTCTCATAAAAAAAAAAAATTCTGGAGACAAAAGAGAATTTAAAGATGAAAGGTACGATAAAACAAGTACATCCTGCTATTCTGTGGAAAACTGGAATATCGACAAAAGAATTCTAACTTCCACACAGATACCAAATTTGTTGTTGATAATGGCTGCGATGATCGGATGTACTTGAACAAGATAACAACATATGAACTTCGGACAGATTCTCAATACCATATCCGAAAATAGGAAAAAAATAATAAAAATAAATTAAATTATATATATATATATATATATATATATATATATATATATATATATATATATATATATATATACTATTACTTGAAAGTTATTTATTTTAAGTGGATATGTATATCGTTGCATCAATGAAAAACATCTAATAATTAAATATGTAAGCACTGCTGAATAATTAAACCAAAGAAGTGTACTCGTCTTCAAGTGTAGATATAAGAACCGTTTCAAAATTCCTGGATAACATTTATTTTGGAGAATTTTATATTGAAATAATGGATGTTTTGTATGATACTAACATGTATGCAGACATGCATTCACAGTGTTTATATATGATTCTTTATGTGGTTTTTCCCAACACCATCTATAACCTTAAATCATGATTAATTTTAATTTTTTATCTATAATATTACTCTTTCTGTTGTTATATATATATATATATATATATATATATATATATATATATGAAGAAGGAACAGTAAGATAAATGATCCGGTATTCTTATAGATATTTTATGAAACTAATGTTTTTAATTTAATTACAAAATTAAATTCGAAGATTTTAGCTTCCATTTTTGAAACATAGAACTGTGTAGCGAAAAAATATTTTCAATCAGTTAATATATATATATAATAAAAAATATTTTAAATCATATTAATATATATATATATATATATATATATATATATATATATATATTAACTGATTTAAAATATTTTTTCGCTACAAGATAGCAAGATTCACCACGATTCTCATGTAAAAAGCAATCTTCAGTTTACCCTTACGTAATTCAAATTTTAAAAAAAAAAAAAAAAACTGATTATCGCAATGTTAGCGAGGTTTATATCATACGGGGTTTACAGTTGTTTTTTTTTTATTAAGAAAAATATATCTGACATTTCAATTCAATGTGATTTGTATATAAATGCAAAAAATTATCTCAGATTAGTTAATGATATTTTGTTATAGCATAAAGGGATATTAGTTGTTTTTTTTTTACATTATTTACGTTGTTCAGACTGTTGTTCTCACCTTTATTATCAAATTCAAGATGTTTCTTCCGTTATACACTCTGGCCTTCTTCAGGTGATTGATTTTTCGGATTATCGAATTTCAGGTGATTGGGAATCAATTTAAGAAGGCCGGAGAGGGCAACAGCCGGAAGATCGTGAATATGGCAATCAAAATGGGGACGACAGCATTTGCGTAGCGATTTTACACATATATATATATATATATATATATATATAATGTCTGTGTGCGTTTGTGGGTGTATTTGTTTATTTGTTTGTGGGGGTGAAGTGAAATAGAGAGTTACTGACATAATGTCATGAGATATTCGCAATAAAAAACTTACATATACGCATAAATATATATCCAGAGATATATTTTCATAAATATATATGTAATTTGTGATCAATGAATGTATCATAGCAATGAAAAACTGGAAAAATCTACACTATTACTCATCTCGTTTTTAAAAGATTCATTGGTAGTATTCACTGATCTATAGTCTACCTAAAACAAAGAAACATACATAAGTATATTTTCGATCGGAAACAAAAAACAGTGATTCCAATGCGATTCATAATATCAGGAGTTGGTAGTTTTCCTAACAAAATGCCGAAAGACACGTGTTAAAATTTTAAAATCAGACCTTGGGTCAGTCTTTCACATATTAAAACATCAGGAAATTTGTTCGAATTACAAAAGGGGATAAATATAACAGATAAATTGATGTCTAGATTAAAACTTTGATAGTTAATTTTCTTTTACACCAAAAAGGTAATCTAAAATAAAAAATATATATATATATATATATATATATATTCAAGTATGTTTGGTTGAATAATCTGAACATTATGGAAATTTTAATCCTCTCGAATTCTATGACTTATGACTAATGTTGATAATTATTTTTTTAAAAAGTACATCGCCCTCTTATAGAAGGCGATATAGTTTTTTCATTTGTTTTATTTTCATGTACTTTTAATCTCATCTGTTTCTTTTATTTTCAATTATTTTTAATCTTATCTAAGGTAATCGTGAAGGGTAAGTCGCTAAGACGATTATATATATATATATATATATATATATATATATATATATATATATATATACACTACCTATGAACACTAATTGTTATGTCCCAATCCTGATACAATACGTTGGACACTATTGTAAATGCGGGTAATATGTTGTCTAAGTAGTCCACCACTAACAGTGGTTTACCTACTTCACGCCGCTGGCGAGTATTGTATTTTGTTGATGCTATAAAGTTAGCCATTTCATTTCCAACCTCCGTTTTGGTTATTCCTCATTCAGTAACCTATTCTAGGTTACAACACATAAGCAAACACACACACACACAAATAGATAGAGAGATAGAAAGATGCGAATAACTAAAGAACAATTGACTTGTGTTTATTTTTAAGAAACAATACTTATATAGATATATTTGTGTATATGTGCAAATTCGAATAGTGTATAATAATAAACGAATGTTTAACTATTTGAATCAAAGTACCACAAAGAAAAATGAATACCCCAAAAAGGGAGAGTATTACCAGAGAAAAAAAGAGAACGAGAGTAGATAAAGAAACAGAAAGAAATGTGATGAGTGATAGAGAAACCGATGATAAATTGGAAAGAAGACAGAAGCCGTAGATCGAAGATATTACATAAATTGAAAAGTGCGACCCTGGGTCGGGTCGCGTGTGTTCATCATACCGTAGATCGATGTCGTTGAATAGTATTCCACTCAGGCACTAGATGGAATCTTTGGCTTAAGTAAAGCATTGAATAAGATGAGATAGTTATAGAATCCAAGCAAGTTTCCATTGGGCATGATTGAAAGTATCAGGAAATAATCCAGACATTTTATTCCGTGCCGAAAACAAACGAAGTATATGATGTTCACTTATAAACGAAAATCCTCCTTTCTCATACTAATTTTGACAGTGTATTTTTTCCCTTTTAATTTGAAGAAATGCGTAGGTTGGAAGGTAGATTATTTTTCTATTCTGTTTCTTGAAAAAATTCTCAATTCAATCACACAGGCGGGATAACATGCACAGACTATCGGACATATACTTACACACAATAAGACACACATTCACACGCATATCGTCTTTGTCTTCAACAAAGATTTCATTTTACGCTACTATTTATCTACAAGGCCGAATACAGTACTTTTCTTTAAATACAACAGATTTGCATGTACTTATATATATATATATATATATATATATATATATATATATATATATATATATATATGAGTGTGTGTGTGTGTGTGTTTGAGCAACGATATACGCATTTGTTGGCGTGCATAGACAGGCAAGCAAACAAATAATCATAAAATGTATTCATTAGGTGTAAGCATAACATTCCTCGATATGTTTAGACAGAGCAAAGTTATTTATTCATAAATGTACAAATACATATGTTTACGTGTTTTATGACACAGCGTGTTTCCCATATGGCATCTGTGTATCTTTATAAAAAATAAGATATACTTTGTGTCCGATGAGCTGGAAAACAAGCTAATACCTAAACGTATATATATATATATATATATATATACATATTTATATAAAAAAGTGTGTGTGTGTGTGTGTGTGTGTGTGTGTGTGTGTGTGTGTGTGTGATAAAATATAGTTTTAGGATATGCTATATTAATGGATTAAATTGCTCAACATCAGAGAGAGCGTATGGAAATATAATAATGCGCATTGAAGTCAGCACTCCGAGTGGGCAGCGTGTTTTTTGCTAAATGCAATCGCCAGGGCATCTATTTACTCTCTCTCATATATATATATAAGTCAACACTAAGAGGTGACAGTCTGTTTAATGCCAGATGCAATCGTCAGGCCTGACGATTGCATCTAGCATGAAACCGACTGTCGCCTCTAAGTGTTGACTTCTATGTTCACTTATATATTTAAACACGCTCTATCTCTGTTTTTGAGCACTTTATCCCATAAATATAGCATACACACACACACACACACACACACACACACACACACACACATATATATATATATATATATATATAGAGAGAGAGAGAGAGAGAGAGACAGAGACAGATATATATATATATATATATATAAAGATAGATATATATATATATATATATATATATATATATATATATTATTGAATACGATAGACCAGGTGATTTGATTAAGTTTTTTATACAATTTCTCATGTGATCTAATAATTTTTTTTTCTTTTCAGATGAAAATCTATTGAAAAACAGTGCGAATGTGCTGTTTTTCCCAGAGCTTTCGGCAATACATTTAGCCATTTTCAAGGATGAAATATTTTAACTGATAAATAAGAAATAGTTTGTTTCATGTATTTATTCATATAATGTTTTCATTTCTTTCTCAAAACAGAAAAAAATGAAAACATTATATAAATACATTATTACATATATATTAATACGAAGACGCATGTGGTTCATACATGATGGGATTCTAACAAATGTTAGTCACATAGTCCGCGACCTCTATCTGACGTCTAACATGAAAGATGAATAGGTAAGGGAGGACCGGTTGGATTGTTATCTGTGGGGCCACCTAAAATAATTGGTTTCTGCAGCAGACATTAATAATGCAGATACGCTTCATCAGCGTGTTATGGGATCCTGTTAAAACATTCGAC